AAACCATATTTCAGCCCTGAACAAGTCAAGACGATCTTCATCGTCTATTTGAACGACTAAAGGTACGCGGAACATCGTCTAGCTCAAGACGTTAAATTAAGCGCTTGTTGGGAGGCAACTCAATGTTTAGTGTATATTTTTTTGTTTCAGATTAGGCTTATTTTCATTTCTTCTTAAAATATATNAAAAAAAATAAAAGAATATATATCCAGGTCCACACGACTCGTGTGAACCTGGGAAAAAAAAAAGATTTGCGATGTTAGCTACGGCGTTTCAACACGACTCGTGTGGTGAAGGACGCGAGTCGTGTGGGAAATGGACACGACTCGTGTGAGTCTGGGCGAAATTTTAGTCGACTTTTGTTATGATCACACGACTCATGTGGACTTCGGGGACACGACCCGTGTGACTACCAGGTATGTTTTATTTCACCTTCTCTCCTCATTCTCACGTACGACGCCTTCACTTCTATCTCACACGAATCGATCGTCTCTCTCGTCTCTCTCAGTTTTTCAATTTTTCTCGCTCTTCTTGCTCGATTTCTTCTTGAATTCACATACACACTCCATCTAAGCAATTATTTGACGGATTTGAGTTCTTCCAAGGGGGGAAATTCGGTGTTCATAAACTTAGGGTTTGGAATTTTGGGGATTTTGGTAGATTTCAACAAACAAGGTACGAATTTCTTCTCCTTTCTTGTAGTTTCACGTATTGGATGGTGAATTGAGGTATGGATGGTGCGTTTTTGGTATTATTTTGATGTTAGGGTTAAGAATACTTTGAGGAATTTTATCAAACACTTCATGTGCGGATTTGATTTGATGATTTTGCTCTCTTTTTCATATGATTTGTTGATCTAATTGTTTTGTATGGGGAAGAGAGTGCGGTTTAACATGAGGTGAGGTAATTTTTGAGCTTAATTGATGATGTTCTTGGTGTTAATGATTTTTGTGAATTTTTGATGTATTTTGAGGAGGTAAAGAAGTGAATGAAGGATTTGTGATGAATATGTGGTGAAGTTTTGTTGAATTGCTTGGACTTGTTGTAGTTTGTTGATATTAGCTCTCTTTTTGGACTTGTTTGGAGTTGGAATAATTGAGATATATGTTGATTGTAGAGATTGTTTGGAATTATTGGTTATTATTGGCATGATGTGATATTGGTGAAGTATTTTGATGAATGAAGATTATTGTGGATTATTGGTGATGTTGAAGTTGAACTTTTGAATTTTCTCATGTAGGTGCGAGAATGAACACGCGTAGTCAAGCTAAAAGAAGTGGGGGTGCGGGTGTGACACCTCGTGCGACCCGTCCTCCGAGAACTCCACCGGCCTGGACTAATGAGGATGTCGAGGTCGAAGCGACCCCCGGAAGCGAGTTCGGGGTTACATTAGAGCACGACTGGCAAAAAGAGAATTGGACCCGACTCGCACAGCTAGCTATCCGACCGACTCGGTATCCTGACGAGACCGTCGAGCGTGCCCTTGGCATTCATGAGGCCATGAAGCCTCTATTTAACCGGCTCGGAATTTCGGACATGCTACATGAGCGCCCGGGTACATACAAGAGGATGGTGCTCGAGGTTCTTAGCACTTTTAAGATGAAGAGGGGCTCCGGGACGACATTCAAGGAGATTACATTTCAGCTGGATAATCAGCCTCGGCGGGTGACTGAGGGCCAGTTAGCATCATGGTGGGGATGATTATGCCGACAGCACGGAGTACAGTGAGGCCGACTTCTGGAGGTCTATTACTTTGACCCCTGTAGGAGCAGATGCCAAACCATTACAGTTCTCACGTGGGGGAGCGAAAGCCGCTGATATTCGCAACCCGGTCTTAGCGCTATATTCATCGTGTGTTGGCAGCTTTGCGCGAGATTTTTGTATGCACTTGGAATTTTCAAGACGGAGGAATAGGCGAGTCTTTTCTTATAGTTATGGAAATAATTGTCTTTTCTTATAGTTATGGAAATAATTGTTTTTGTTCTGTGTTTTCAGTTCATTTTGCATTATTTTGGCTGCTACAAATTGTTCGTCATTAATCAATGAATGAGTTACTAACAATTGTTTACATGATTTTTTTTCAAAAAAATATTAACTAACAATTGTTTACATGATTTTTTTAAAAAAAAATATCATGCCTTCATTTTCATGTCTATAATTGCTTTCCATTGTTCGTATATACAATTCTAGAATGACTCTCTTAGTTAAAATTGACAATATGGAGTCAAATATTAATCTTTGGAGGTGGTCAAGGTCTTTCTAATATCTATTTACCTAAACCAACTTAATCAATGAAAATGATAATGCTCTAGATAAAGGATAAGGAACAAATAAATGCCAAAAGTCAATACTCAGATCTAACAGTAAGCAATCCTTCCTTTCCTACTGTAATGATCAATAAGATTTGGTTCTTACCAAGTTCTAAAAGAATAACGTGATACTTTTTTATCGAAAGTCCGAGCTTATAAATGATAGTGCAGATAACAATGTTCCTTACAATTTTGCTCATTAATCATTTCTGGGGCATTAGTTGGCGAGGTTATTGCTAAAGCAGTATTCCATTTATATCAATCAGTAAATATTTGTATTATATGGTGTAATATAATATGGTGTATGAAGACCATATTTCCACTAATTGATATTCACTTGTGAAGACCATATTTCCACTAATTATTATTTGATTCGTTTTTACTTTATTATTTTTTTATAACAAATATTATAATTATTAATTCCACAACAGGACAATTATGGAAAACCAACCTTTCATATCTTTGATACTTTTGAAAGAAAATAGTAAAGATTTCAACCTACGTCTAAAAGTTCTAGGAATTGCACCTGAACTATCTTGCGGGAAAAATCTTTCAATAAGGATCCGCAGAGACGTATTCTTCAGCCCTACGACATTCCTCTCCGCCTCCGGACCCTTATACGGATGGACCAGATTGGATACCCATCGTTCAGATTTGGACAGTCGGACTTACATTTTGGTGCCTCTGCTTACTCGTGATGTTGACTGTTCTCCTGGACTCTTTCAGAACCAGGATCAAATTTTTGTTAGTTATTTGCACTTGTTGTCTTTTTCTTTACCGAAAAAATTTGCAATTAATAATACTTATATTATTTTTAATTGTGAAGTTAATAAACCAAAGCAAACTTTTGTTACTCCAAACCCGGATGTAGAGTCCTGACTGTGGATCTTGCTGTGGGTTGGTTGGCCTTTGTTCTGCCGGTGACTTGTGCAGGGCTCGGGTATTTCAGCCGGGGAAGGGCTTTATGTGCCGTTTATTTTGGTTTTTTGTCGTTTGTTTATGTTGTGTTTAGTGGTTTGTGTGTTTTTGTTTGGTGTTTAGTTCGTTGTGTGTTGTGTTTTTTCTCCTGTTGGGAGCTGAATTCTCCTGTTGGGAGCTAAATTCTCCTGTTGGGTGCCTGTGAGTGTGTTTTGTGTGTTAGTTTTGTATTTGTGATCCGCTTAGGCTGCCTTGAGGTTGTCCTCCCAAGGATTACAGGCGTGTAGCTGCTCATTCCGGCTATTACCGGTTGTTATTCATTTGTAAATACTTGTTCTATTTATGAAATTATGCCGTTGGAAAAAAATAAATAAATAAATAAATAAATAAAAAAAAAACCCGGATGTAGAATTGGTGTTAAATAGACATACTTTTGTGATTCATGTAGTAGAGCCTATTGGAAATGTATTAATACAACTTTGTGGATTTTGAAGATCCTAACCTTCATCTTCACAAAAATGAAACAGGTTTAGGCCCATAAAACTTTATCGATTGTCTATTTTTTAATTTATTTATATATATATTTTTTTTCATGTTATAATAAATTAACACCTCCTATAGATGTTTGTGGAAATCACACTCATCAATGAATAGTGAGAAAATATTTATCTCAAACAAATTTATTACTATTTACAATTTTTAATACACATTATTTTATTTAATAAAATTTTGTGTCATGAAGTATGCGCACCTTGCTTGTTACTCTGTGGGAAGATTTAGCATCCAATGAAGCAAAACAATTGGAAGAAAATATGCCAAATAGTCTTATAGGTGAAATTTCTCAAGTCACTCCTAAAATATACCTTGGTAATACATAAATAATTTTGTTTTTATTATTAAACATAATCTAATTATATATAATATAATTAAAAAATAATATCTTATTTTTCATGTTTATTACATATTAATTTTAGGTGAAATTCAAGTTCAAACTACTGGAGCATCCGTAATACAGATAAATCCACAATGTCATTAACCCGGCCTTTTGAAAAATTGGTGTGATTATTACTTTTATTAATAAAATATAATTACTATTCATAACTTTCTAATATACATTTATTTTTATATGTTACAAAAATAGCTTGGATAAAACTCAAAATCGGATTAAACTTCGATAATTAGCAAGTATTCAAAGAATGAAGTTGGCAAATCAAGTGACACTCAGCACCATCATAGACAACAAACATATATTATCCCAGGTAAAATTAGTTTCCTTTTTTTCTTTTAAGTTTCATTACAATATTTTCTAAGTTTTTCTTTTTTATATTTTTCAAGGATATATATTATTGTTTCGAAGGAGTTGTTGATATAATTGAAAATAAATTGTCCATGTGGCATGATGCATGCACAAAATGTTCCGCTTCTATTTTTAAAACCAAAGATACAATAATTTGCAACAAATGCAAAGAGGAAAATGTCGAAACCAAACCTAGGCACGCATACAATAAAGTTTACTTTATTAATAATTCTTAATATATTATATATTTATCATTATTTTATTAATTGTAGATACAGGGTTGTTTTGAATGTCGTCCATGGATCACACAATGCAACCATAACTATGTTTGAGGCAGCTACTACTGCATTCATTGGTTGCACATTTCTTGAATACATCAAATCCATTGAGGAGGTAACAAAATTCAATACAATATGTTTAATATATATATTTTATTTCATTTAAAACTAACATTCTTATTAAACTTATTCATCCAGGGGGAAAACAACTCCAAGTTTTTTAGAGAACTCAGCTTGCAAACTTCAGCTACAATTAAATTTCTCATACCATTAAATGCTAAATCCAAGGTGGACGATAAAAAGCTAATTGTCGTTGCTGAAGCACTCGAGAAGATTAACCCACCTTTGGAAAAGGGCAAGAAGAGAACAAAGAACGATGAAGATGTCGATGGAAATTTTGAAAAGAAGTCGCATCGAAAAAAAATTAAACACCAAATTACCCACACCTTTGCTGACATTGAATTTTCAAGCGATGAATAAATTCTACATACAATAAAGAAGAAGAAGAAGTACACCAAGAAAATGCCGGCTTCAGGAAACACAAAAACCAAGAAAATGGTTGAAATAAAAAAGGAGAAGCCATGAAGAGATTTAACATAGCATTATTCCTATTTTATGCTTCTAAAAAAATTATTTCACGTACATGATGATGAATTTGTTATGACATTATTATAGATCTCCATTTACCATTTTACTATGCACTACATTCCTTCTAATTCCACAATTAAATTAATCATCTACCCCTCTTTATGAACTTATGTTTGGGTATAACACCATCAAATATCCTTATTCTACATATTCTTATATAGCTTGTACTTCTTATTTATTTATTTATTTATTTTTTTTGTTAGATTGATTATGCTATCCACCTATTCAAAATTCAAATAAATAAGAATAAAAAATCTTACATTTTAAAACTACATGTTACGAACTTAAATTTCAAATTTAGTATACATGCAGCGCACGTGCACCTTACTAGTAGTATACATGCAGCGCACGTGCAGCTTGAGCACCTCGAGATTCTCCAGCATTCCTAGGAATGACATCTGCTCCTAACCGAGAAAAGTGGCAGATAGCGTCAAGCTCCTAAGTTTCGGGGGTAACTTATCTGGAGGAGGAAGCCTGAGTGGGGTCATGATATCATGGATGTCGTCACTCAGCAGCTTCAAATTCTCAAGGTCATTTAGTACTTCTAAGTTATCGAAATTCATAGTGGCAAGTATCCCCCGAATGCCTAATTTCTTGAGGCGATGTGCCCGCACAAACAAGTCGAGGGTGCAATCGCCCGGTGATATGTTGGCCAGCGTCTGAAGATGCTGGCCACCTCGGTTTTCGCCAGCTACTGGTTTTTTGTGAAAAGTAATTGACGCGTTTGTCCTCAAGTCTCTCAGCTGGACCATCGACCTCCAAATATCGGCTTTGATTGCCAAAGTACGAGACGATGTATGGATTACGAGAGTCATCATGTTGCTTAGCCTGGAAACGGCTTTCGGAAGGACTTTGAAGTCACTAGAGAGGACCACGTACTTGAGAAGCACGAGTTGAGTCAACCCGAGTGGGAATATTCTGAACACGAGGGGCTTCACATGTAAAACCCTCACCAACTCGAAGGCCCCCGGGATTTTCGGGATGTCCTCTGTCGGCAAGGCGATTTCTTCTCCGGAGAAAGAAAGGAAAGAACGAGTGGCTGGGGCGTACGGCTCTGTAGAGAAGAATTCCAGGACCTTGGAATGAATGCAAATACGGCGGTGCTGGTCGTTTTGAGAAGGTTTGTTGAAAGTTCCATCAGCATTTTTTGTCAACACTTGGAAGAGATGCTCTTTCCCCTCGGACTCTGTTTTACAAAAGTCGTGCACTGTGTCATGAATCCGGCACGTCTTGACCTCACCGTTGCTTTTAAGTTTACTAGTAAAGTGCACGTGCGATGCACGTGGCGACGAATTTTTATTACCGATTAAATTTATTAAGATAAATTAATTAATTTACTACACATATGACTGCAGGAACAAAATAAAATGTAGAATAAATAAACTTTTCATGCATTTTATTTTAAATAAAAAAATATTGTCGTAATATGAAAAGATTTAAATATCATATTACAACTCCAACAAAAATATATGAAAATTGAGTTCTTAATGAAAAAACAATAAATGACTAAATAAAGACATAATGTATATTATAGATGCATAAGTTCTTTTATTTATTTATGTTAGATTCAAGAGTCATTTTCTTTTATTTTGGTTTTGATGTTCTCATAACAAACATTCATACTCGTTGAATTCTAATACATCAATAGTATTGCAAAATTCTTTTTAACTAATTTTGCAAAACGTCTGTTTTATTCAACACTTAGAAATACTTTAGCCAAATATATAGTCAAACTTTATGATTGTATGATCATTATAAGGTATTTCTACTAATAGATCATAAGTATCTCTGTGAAATAAACAATTGTAGCATTTAATTACTTGATATTTGTGTCATTAAAATTCTTGATATTTCTATTAATCATTGTATAAACTACTACATTTCTCTCTCTCTCTCTCTCTCTCTCTCTCTCTCTCTCTCTCTCTCTCTCTCTCTCTCTCTCTCTCTCTCTCTCTCTCTCTCTCTCTCTCTCTCTCTCTCTCTCTCTCTCTCTCTCTCTCTCTCTCTCTCTCTCTCTCTCTCTCTCTCTCTCTCTCTCTCTCTCTCTCTCTCTCTCTCTCTCTCTCTCTCTCTCTCTCTCTCTCTCTCTCTCTCTCTCTCTCTCTCTCTCTCTCTCTCTCTCTCTCTCTCTCTCTCTCTCTCTCTCTCTCTCTCTCTCTCTCTCTCTCTCTCTCTCTCTCTCTCTCTCTCTCTCTCTCTCTCTCTCTCTCTCTCTCTCTCTCTCTCTCTCTCTCTCTCTCTCTCTCTCTCTCTCTCTCTCTCTCTCTCTCTCTCTCTCTCTCTCTCTCTCTCTCTCTCTCTCTCTCTCTCTCTCTCTCTCTCTCTCTCTCTCTCTCTCTCTCTCTCTCTCTCTCTCTCTCTCTCTCTCTCTCTCTCTCTCTCGCTCTCGCTCTCTCTCTCTCCCTCCCCACATAGACAAATTGGTACTTACCCCATGAGGTGGGAACCAATTTCATCTCTAAATAAAATTTGATTTTCCAAAATCATGTACTTCTATGAAGATGCTAAATTGTTTTTTTGAAATCATCACACATTACATGAAAATATGTACTCTAAAACAATTGAGCGTATGATCGAGCACAATACACAGTTATGATTGTAAATTCTTATCAAAAAGTGACAACTTATTCAACATTCAAAAATATTTTAATCAGTATTAAACATTCTCTTTTCAGTGTTATTAATTTGAAAGATAGATACCTTCCATATTCTTTCGGATTTGCAATATTTATGTGTCTAATAATATTTATTGCATTTATTGTCCAATCTTTTGTATCATAACTAATTCTTAAAAAATTCAAGATAAAGATCTTTTATTGATTCTTCAATAATAACAAAACAAAACGAAACAATGAGACAATATTTAGAAGTAAAATATTTCAGATGAGAAGAATTTGAATTATACCATATTATGATACTCTTAGTCATCTGTTAACTTTATTATTATGAAGTCATTACTAAAGTTTGTGGTCTATTTTATGATAATATCGAGAACTAATTTCTTATAGAGAACATATACTTAAATGCTAGCAACAACAAAAGTAGTAATTCTAAAAGATTTTTGTTTCTTGATATTAGTATTCATATTTTTCTAAAAAAAATCAGAGTTTTTCTTTTCCTCATTGCATTACTATTGGTTTACTTGTTTTTTTATTTATTTTATTCACAAATAATATTTTATTTCTTGAAAGAATTAGAGAATATTTATATGCAATGCATTCCTTTTACGTGTTTGATAGTAATAATATACTTGATAAAAATGTAGTTTTATATTGTTTATAATATTAAAAAGTTTTGAATTTATTTCCATGTTCTGATAAAATATTAAGTAACTAATTCATGTTTATATTCACAAAAAATACATTTTACAACCATTATGGTGTTTCCTTTCAAGCAATAATTGAATAATAGTTTAACATACAACCGATTTATTTTTTTCTTTTAATTCACATATTTAATATTGGTAATAGTTGTACAATTACATCTAGTTGACTTTTTCCTTAGTATGAATATTTCAAATCTATGTCAGAAAAATATACCACAAGTTTATCTAATATTATTTTATAATTAATAAAATTAATTTAACATGGATCTATAATTATTTTATAAGATTCTTTTAGGTCTATTTATTATTTTAAATTGGTATTGGTATATATATATATATATATATATATATATATATATTATTTTACATCGATATAAATAATTATATTATTTTTATTTTATTTACAAAACATTGGTAAAATCAAATATCATGAGAAAGAAATAATATGATATATTACATATAAAAGGGTAACCAAAAAAAATTAAGTATTTCAAAATTAAGAAATTTAATGGTGTAAATTAACTAATTTTTTAACTAAAAAATTATGACTAATATACCGATTTCTAAGACAAAAAAATAAATATATTTTTTTATACATGTGCATCTCAAGTATATTTTACATTTATCATTCGCTAGCTCCAATTGATATATGACATTTATTAATTTTATCATTTTTTTTTTGAGTAGAATGTCAGTTATAAGTTTTCTCGTTGTGTAGTTTTACCTTTTTATTACGTAGAACATCATTTTCACATCTTGTTTAGTATTAATATTACCTTTTTAGTAGAACATCATTCTGGCCTCTTCTTTAATTATTATAATACTAATAAAATATTCAAGGACTTTTCAACTTATATGTATTTTTTTAATTACTAATTATCATAAATTAAATGATAATTACATTAAATATGTTATATTTTGTATCATTATTTACAATTTTCAAAACAATTAACTGCACACAATATTATATATAGTGCAAATTTTTTAGTTTGATTTGGAGTCATGCTTTTACTACAAGAAAATGATGAAATTCCAATGAAAACATATTACAGCGAAATTTCGACAACAATTCTAACGAATATTTCAACGTTACAATTTTCGTTTGAATTTTTCAATGAAAGTTATAACAAAAATATTTTGTTGCAATCATGTGCAGATCCATGTTTGTCCAATAGTCCCGAAACTGGCATCATCCCAAAACAAATAGCATAAGATATCTAACAAACATTATGGGAACATTTTTCATAATTTTAATCATGTCCTCTATTTAGAAAATAAAATTAAAAGAATAAAGACAAATAATGATTCATTTACAACTCAACCAATTATAATTTAGTCCAACTCATAACGTTATTAAAATTATAACATCAATGCGGTATCCCAGCTAAAGAAAATATGATATCAAAGTTTACCATTTTACGCCCTATTTCTCTCTTTTCTTTTTATTCTTGATGATATCTTATTATCTCTCTTTTGCGACATAATTTTTTATCTAATTTTAGAAAATATATTTTAAGTCTTTTTTAAGTGTATGTAAAATTCTAGTTATATATTCGTAATTTATACAATCATCTATTATATTGTCGAGTCAACTATACTACAACATAAAATTTTTGTTCATAAAAAGATTTTGTCGAGTCAACTATACTACAACATAAAATTTTTGTTCATAAAAAGATTTTGAAAAATGTATTATTTTTTGATGATTTTCTTATGTCGAATTGAGAAAAACTATGCTTTTTTTTAAAAAAAATATTATTGAACTTATTGAGATTGTATTGATGTGTTAAAAAAAGTAATACATATGAGAAAGTTGACAAATTAAGAAAAGTATAATTTATAAATTGTAATGACATTATGTTGTTTTGATGCAATACTTTTTGTATTAATTAGATAGTGCTCTTAACATGAAATTATTTTGGATTCGCCACTGCAGGTAGTTTTTCAATGGAACTTTCATTGTTTTTCCCAATTTCAGTGATAATTTTTTTAATGGTTGAAATATGGCCGAAAAAAAAATTCAACATAAATTCACACAAAAATAAATATTAGTAATTGTGATATTAAATCCACAAAAATTTCAATGTAATTTAATTTACTCACAATTGGAATAGCCAGTGAATCTTTTCAATAGAAACTATACCAATGAAATATCTGTTGGTATTTTCTGTGGAATACCTTACTGTTGGATTTTTCATTATAATATAGAATTTTTGTATTCTTTCATAATCATCAAAATGTTTATGTAGTAATTTTTTTATTTATTGATCGTGTTTATAATTTTTCTTTTAAAATATATTAAAACATCTACTTTTTAGTCCATATAATTTTCTTACAAGTCACTCGTTATTTTATGTTGAGATTACCTATTAATTTCTCAATTGAATTACTTTCCCTACATATTAATGGAAATAAGTATTATTTTTATATGCAATATAATATTTATATATTATATTAAAAAAGCTAATAACAAATAAAAAATATTTAAAATTTACAATAATCAATTTATTTTTAAAAAAATTAAAATCTCTAACCTAAATAGATTAAAGTACAAATAACTATTGTCAATAACTTAAACTTACACCTATAATTAATAAACACAAAAAAAGTAACAATCGTGCTCGTTTACATCGATATGTACAAGTTTTAAAAGTTTTATATTTATATTTATTATTATAACATTTTTAATTATTACTTTTTTCGTATGCATTAGTAAGTATTACAACTTAATTATATTCTTAATATTATGTATCAGATTTAATATTTTCTTACTTTATATTGTTCTTTCACATATATATAACTTTTAGTTATATATAACTTAATTATATATAACTTTTAAATTTGTTAAAAAAAATGCATAATACTAAGTATATAACTTTTTTTAGTCATATGTCTTATTATATCTATTATAGTTGTACATCTTTATATTATATTATGTATAATTACAATTTTTTAATTAATATTATTATCAAATATTAAAAAAAGATATTTTGTACATTTTTTAATGAAGTTGATTTATTGTAATAATACATATATATTAATAGATAGGTGAGTAATGGTACTATATCGATATAAATTCTTGGTAAAAATAATTAATTTTCAACGTATATAGGCATATCAGGATTCACTATATATTTTTAATTAATTTGAAGATAATGATTGATAAAAGTACAAATAACTATTGTCTATCACCTAAAACTTACATTTAGAACTAATAATACAAAAAATTAACAAGCGTTTAATAACACCTGAATTGCGTTAAGAAATTGAATCCACCAAAAAGCCAATATTAGCTCTCTTAATTCCTCTAATAGTGACTCAACTCGTTTACATCGATAAGTACAAGTTTTAAAAGTTTTATCTTTATTTTTATTAACTATAACATTTTATTGTTACTTTTAATATTTATTAATAAGTGTTACAACTTAAACAGATTTTTAATATTATTTGACCTTTTGGATCATATGTCTAATTATATATAATTACAATTTTCGCATTCATTACATGAAAATAAATAGGCTGAGTTTTAGTATTATACATTTTCATAAAATTATTCTAACCTTATTTTAAGTAAAGAAATTGGGTTGATTAGAAGTTTCGATTGCAAAACAATCATTCAACAATTAATCTCTCATACTATTACAAAAATTATTACTTTTTATAGGTTATTTTGAAAGAAAAAAAACCGTTTCTTTACTTTATGGGTGTTATGAGGACAACATTATGGATTTCACTTTTATTATTTATAGTTATTAATTATAGAGGAGTAATAGTGATATATGTTATAATTATTGGTAAAAATAAATAATTTTCTACGTATAGGCATATAACGATTCTTTAGATATCTTAATTAATTCGTAGAAAATTGTATGATCAAAATAAAATCATGCTGCTCAACTAATATCCCATTCGACATGAAAAAAATTGGACCGGGTTTTAGTATTATATAATTTCATAAAATTATTCTAATCTTATTTTACGTAAAGAAATTAAGTAGATTATAAGTTTAGGTTGCAAAATATTATATCTCATATTATTACATAATTTATTCTTTTTTTATATGTTATTTTGAAAAAAAAAATATTTATATAGTTTGTGGTCGTTATGAGGACAATCAACATCGATTTTAAATATTTTACTTATAGTTATTAATAAACTTGTAAAATTAAATAAATATTGTTGAAACAGTTATCTTATTTGATAGGATACTTACGGTTAAATAAACTCTTAAATTTTATTGAGAAAATCATAAAAGTATTTAAGAATCTTAAATAATTTCAATAAATAAAATATTTTAATTATAAAATTTTGAATTATAATCGTTTATAGAGCGCTCAACTTGAAAATTAATTGCTCAAATAAAATAATAATAATAATAATAATAATAATAGTTAAAATGTCATGAACATTTTTATTAATAATTGAATGAAAAATTTCAAATAATTTAAGTCTTAATAATTAAAAAATTACGCAACTTGATATTAATCACCTAATGATCACGTGAAGATTCGTTAACTCTATTAGCTTTGCGACCAAAATTTGAAAATACAAACCACTAAACAATGACGATTTTTGTGGGATCAAAATTCAATCTAATAAAACTAAGGTGCAATCTAATTCTAGTTCTAAATACAAGAGTTTATTTTTCTTAAATAATGATCTAGTTAAATGAATTCTTCCATTTTTCTAGTTTGTTAGATTATGTATATATTTCACGTGTGCATGATTTCGGTAATATTTTAGGTATCTTCTCTTAATTAAAGTTATGTATGTATCTTGGAAATTATTTATTATATAAAATTATCCTCTCAACTAAGTTATCATGTTTTACCAAGATTTATCGTTTTGTTAAAAGATAGGTAAACAAATAGTTGAGAAGGGGTTTTTAGGTAAATATTAATTATTAATAAAATAAATATAAGATTGGATATTTATTATGTTATTACTAATTTGCCATTAAAAATATACCAAAGTAAGGGTATAATAGTTAGTTCTTTCTTTTACAAAAACACTCGTCCTTTTATAGTAGTATTTTGAGTTACCATTTTAGTTAGCACAACATTTAGACATATAATATAATAAAACATTTGGACTAAATATTACATAAGATTATTTTGTAGATATTGTTTACAAGAACCAATTTGTTTTGGTGGACTTCTGTGGAAGAGTTATTTTTTTTCCCTACTTAGCTAAAAGAATAATAACAATTACTTCAAAGACCACCTCAATCTCCATCATTTTTAGTAAAATTTAGAATTATTTGAGTCATACTTTGGGCGTGTATCGTAATAGTTTTCAATGTTACGTCGTTATTTATTTAATTAAATATTAGTGATTAACTAAAAAATATAAGATTTGAAGAGTATTAGTGTATTACCAATTTGTCATTAAAATTAAGTCAAAGTAAGGGTTTTTTAGGTAGTTCATTTGTTAATTAAAAATATAAAATAAGATGGGTATTACTGTATTATTAATTTGCCATTAAAAATATGTCAAAGTAAAGGTTTTTTAGGTAGATCATTATTTTTACAAAATCACTCGTCTTTTTATAATAGTATAGATAGATAGATAGACCAACGATGACCAAATTGCGGTTGATGAGATCTATTAGATTCTCGTGCGCTCTCTCCTCCAAGCTCTGTTCCTGCCTTAGGTCGAACGAACCCTTCGGAAATCCATAGTCGGGTCAATGTCCAAGCCGGGATCGCATAATCTTCCGGGAACACCCCCAAATAAAGAAAGCAGTCCCTCAACTCGTCACACATTCTATCATAAATCAATTCCAATACACTCCTCAAAACATCCGATCCACCACGAGTGTACTTGTCCAGGCTTTGGGATAGCTCTATCCACCACTTCACAATGGCAACACTTGTTTTTGCTTTCGAGACATAGTCCATAAGATTCCCTGCTATCATCAACAGCAGCATCGGTATTCCTCGGCATCGTTCGCTTATATGTCTTCCCAGCCCTTGCAGCTGCGGAGGACACTGCCCATCCTTCCCGAATACTTTGAACTGAAGGAGTCGCCAACCTTCATCATTCGTCATGAAACGAAGCCGTTGGGTGGTAAAATACAATAATATCCCTTGTTTGAAGCTTCGGAAAAAATCACCTGTTCAGTGACTCCCTGATGACGGGTGGTGACAAGGACTCGACCCTTCCTGTTGTTGGTGGGTAAGGCAGACGTGATTGTAGACATTGCCTTAGCAGTCCACACATCGTCCAGGACCAAAAGGAACTTCCTCTCTTGTAGGGAGGCACGAATAGCTTTTGCCAGGTCAGAGGTTGTCTCTTTGGACATGTCCTTGCTCGTGAATTGGTGGAGGATGACGAGAAAGATGGTTCTCGGGTTGAAATCTCGGGAGACGGAGGCCCATATTCGGGTGGGGAATTCCCGTTGGATTTCCTCGTTGTTGTAAGCTTTCCAAGCCAGGGTCGTTTTACCGAGGCCAGGCATGCCGATGAGGGTGGTGATGCCCATCCCAGGAGCAGAATATCGTCCCGAGGTCAGAGTTTCGATTAATTTTCTTTCCTCATCTTCCAGACCTATCATGCTTTCTCCCATGATTGAGGCTGCCTGTGCACACAAGTTACAGTACATTCTCAAGTTAGGCCTAATTTGCTACTCTTCATTGTGCTCATCATATTCAAGCTGCATAATATTATTCATTTGGTAGCTAGAGATTATTTCTTGTATTGTATTTTCAACAATTTCATAATGCACGTGATAAGTTGAGCCTTGTTTTTATATGCAAAATGAGCTATGTTGTGAGAAATTCTCTTGATCTCCATCGAGAGAAACATCGTTGCGATTTGCGAACCAACATCATTGATTGGACGAATAAAATGGATGATATTCTTATCTGAGATACTTGTTAGTGACATAAAGAATAAGAGCATTTGCCGAACAATTAATGCATTGTACTT